GATGGTTAGGTTGGTTGGAGCCATGGAGGTTAGTGTGTGTGGAAATGGGGGACAGAGAAGCATTGACCCAATGAGCTTAGCTATCATGTTTTTGGAGCAATGTGCTTTATCTGTTTTGTGTTTGGGAAAGGGCTGAATGGATCATTGAATGTTTGGTGACATTAGTTCTTTGTGGGGTCAAATTGGATAATTCTTGTTTTATGTTTGTTAAAACCGACAAACCTGGCTGCTTTTAGCTCAATTTGTTCTACTATTGTCCGTTTTGGTTCGTTATGTATAGCTATCAATCTCACGATTTTAAAACGCTTTTATTAGGAATAGATTTCTACACCCTTATAACGAATATTTCGTTTCTCTCTCCAACCGTTGTGGGATTTCACAATCTACCCCTTGGAGTCTAATATCCTCGCTAGCACATCGTTTAATGTCTGACTTTGATATTATTTGTAATACTTCAAGTCCATCGCTAGCAAATATTCTCCGTTTTGGCCTGTTATATATCGTCATCAGTCTCACGGTTTGGAAACGTGTCTACTAGGAAGAGGTTTTCACATTCTTTGAAAATCGATGTAGGATCTCATATGAACGGTGTGAAAATCCAATTTCGCGGACAATTCAAACTTATGATTGAACCTTGGTTACATTTGACCGAAAGTGTATTAATTATAACAGAGGTAGACATGATTTTGGTGAATAATCATACACCCGCGTGTAGCTACAAGTATGATTGAGACATACACAACAGTGGATGACAAGTATGATTAGAATATCCAAGACATATCTATCAGGAGACGCTAAACGATTGAATGTGAAGAAGCGGTTTGGGGTAAGACCCACCGTTTCAAGGTTCTAAAAGTTGAGAACCCATATCTGCTGGCGGCTCGCTCCACAGCCAACGCGTACCGGCAGCGCTCAAGAGTTTCAAGCCGCGTTTGTTGTCTCATTCAATAGATGCAAAAAGTAGTCTTGTTTAATCTTTCCCATTTTATAACTAATTTTAGGAATATAATAGATTAATAAAAATAATTTTAAAAATAGACTAAATTAATAAAATTATTTTTAGAAATAGATTAAATTAATAATTTTAGAAATAATTAATTCCAGAAATAGACAAAATTAATAAAACTACATCCACTTTCTAATTTAATAATATTTTTAAACTAAAAAAAATATAAATAATATACTTAGGATGAAAATATTAATAACTTATTTAAAAAAAATTGAATAACCTTTATCTTTAATTAATACCTTTTTAACTTTAATAATATATTTACGGTTACCATGTTTAAAAAAAATATTTATAAAATTTTTAAAATAGCATTTACCCCTTTTACTCTTATAGAAAAAAATTAAAAAAAAAAAAATTTACTACCCCTCATACGTTATCTACCAACGTCTTAATGTTATTTCAGAAAATTACTATAAAAATTTAAAAAACTTAAAAGGGTATTTTTGAAATGCTTTTTAAAGTAAAAAAAAAAAAAAAAAATTGAAATCTTTATAAAAAGTTAAAGAATATTTTTAAAACAAAATATTACTGGTTTTCATCCAAAATTAAGGACAAGGGTATTTAGGGTATTTTTGAGACGAAAGGCAAAGTTTACGATATTTTTATTGATTTAGCTTTAAAAATATCATACCAACAACGATTTTTATCACAATATATAATCATGCAACGAAATCGCATTGGTCATTGTATAGTCTTATACGACAACATACAAGGTATAAGATCATATTGCTTATTGCAGTTCAATATAATACGACGAGAGTACAATTGAATCAACAATGAAAAAATCACCGTTAAATTATTAAACGGACAAAAAAAATCATATAAATATAATAATGAATTAAGTAGCTGTTAAGGATATTTAGTAATAAATTATAGTTTACCATATATATTATATTTGATATTTTATTATAAGGCAAATATCTAATATTTGCCTTATTATTATAGGTATCTTTCTATTTATTACTATTTCCATATCCTTATAATTTATTTGATTATAAATAAGACAACTTTCACACCATTTAAGTGTGGTGGATTAATCAAACATTCACAGTAACAAACAAGGAGGAAAAGAAATGGTTTGAAACTAATCGTTTTGATAGAAATTTAAATGAATTGAAAATGCTGTTCGCTTTCAAAATAATACCTAATGCCTATTTTATGCCAAAGTTGATGGATTTTTTTCAAACCCTGCTCCCACTTTCAAATGAGTGTTTGAACAAACCATGTTTTTATTTTATTTTATTTTATTAATATTATTGCTTTGCTCTTTTCTTATCTCTTTCTAGTGGAAAGACATGTTTTAAAAACTTTGATGGGAAGCTCAAAAGGGAAAGTTCAAATAAGACACTATTTGTTAGCGGTGAACTTTAGTTGTTATAAATGGTATCAGAGTCAGTCACCGGATGTTGCAATGCACTAGTTGGAAGAGGGCTAGACCATCTCCATAGAATCGGAGTGGTGTGGGTTTGGGCTGTTATAAATGAGATCATAGCTTGTCATCAGACGACATGCACTAATCAGAGAAGGGTGGACTTGTGATGTAAATTTTGTTTTTTTTAATAAGATAAATTTAATTAAATAATTTGAAAAAATAATAATAATTTAGAATGTGTTTATCATTATTTAAAATATATAAAAATACATTATTATTCTTATTACATTAAGTATAACATGTCTTCTCACTAATTCTTTTAAAATCCAATTAAATTAGAACCACAAAGATTTTGTTGCTCATAAATTAAAAAACATTGCATTATAAAATATTTCAATAAAAATAGCAAGAAAATGTTTTTAGATTATATTTTGAATATTTAATTCTTATTTTAATTTGCTTAAAATATCTATTTAAAATTTTGTTTGACTGGAATAATAAATAAATGTTTTATGATTTTGTTTGTGATAAATTATTTTGTGATTGACACGTGCTACAAATGGAAATGCATTTTAAAAATTAATATTTAAAATAAACTTATCAATATTTGAAGGTGGACTTTAGTGCTGTACTAATTAATGGGGATGAAATTATTTATTTGCATTATCTTCTAAATTATTTAAATTATTTTAATGTTTTTTCTTTTCTATTTTCTATTACAAAAGCTTCTAAGAAAATATTTAAATTATGTGTTTAATCACTTAATATATCTGTTTAGTTTTTTTAATTTAAAAAAAAATTATAAATTTTAGATTATTCTTTTATTTTAGTTCCAACCATTAACCAATATTGTTATTATTGGTACGACATGTTCATTTAATACATTTTTATTTTTATCGCTTTGAAATAAAGAATTAAATAAATTAATGAATAATGTAATAAAGTTTTTGTGATAAAATAAATTAAAAAATAATTTTAAATTGAATGATTATTTAAAATAAATAAATAAATAAATAAATAAATAAATATATATATATATATATATATATATATATATATATATATAGACAATATTAAATTTGACAATTTTAATTAGTTTAACTTACGTTTTTAATATTATGGTAAAATAGTTATGATAAATCCATTTTATTAACTAAAAACATATTTACATTTATTAAATATTCATATTTTAGATGAAAAAAATTTGATTTTTTAAAAATATGATTAATTTAAAATTTTATAAATTGATTTGGTTCTATTTTAAAGAGGTTCACTCGAATTTATCATTTATTTTAAAATATATAATTTTACTTATTATACTATTATGTATACATTTTTTTTTAATTCCATAATTAATATTTTTATTATTTATTGTCCAAAAATCTTGGAAAGTAATTTTCTAAAATATATATTAAAATTAAATTGTAAAATTTAATTAAATGTCAGAAAATGAATAAATAAATAATGTAAATACAATAATAATAATAATAATACTCTCATTTTGTTTGTATTAAGCGATCATGATGATGTAAGTATGTGAGTTGCTAACAATAATATCTTTGTTCAAATTATATTAATTTGACTTTTCCAAGCATACTATGTATTAGAATCTTGTACTCTATTATAACATAGTGTTAGGTAAGACTCTTCTATCTTTTTTTTTATCCGATCCAAATTCACTTTAAATCTTAATCCATATTTTTTAAAACTAATACTTTCCTATTATACCCTTTTTGTTCGTGATTGTTACCAACTAGTTCATAGAATTAAAATATTTTTCTCGAGTGTGTTTTGAAATTGTCCACCTTGCACTACCCTCCCGAGTATATACTTCAATAGTAATTAAACAAGGGTGGGTAGATTGATATAATAGACGACTTACCCATTCAGTGACTTTAGCATTGGAAGTTTAAAAAATAGGGTACTATCAAGTCGGGTGAATTCAATAATAATAAACTCGTGTTGGCATTCCAACTTTGGTTACTGTAACGACTCAACCCCACAACTAGCAGATATTGTCATTTTTGGGCTTTCCATTTTCGGGTTCCACTCAGGGTTTTTAAAATGTGTAGGGTAGGGAATGGTTTCCACACCCTTATGCTTCATTCTCCTCCCTAAACGATGTGGGATCTCACTCACAATCCACCATCTTTTGGGGCCTAGTGTCTTTGCTGACACATTGTCTCGTGTCCACTCCCCTTTGAGGTGTAGCCTCCTCGCTGGCAAATCGCCCTGTGTTTGGCTCTATATCATTTGTAACGACTTAACTCCAACGCTAGCGGATATTGTTCTCTTTGGATTTTTCCTTTTGGGATTCTCTTCAAAAATTTAAAATGTGTGCTGGTAAGTCGAGGTTCACACACCCTTAAGAATGTATCATTCTCCTCTACAACTAATGTGAGATGTTACCGTTACTTTCTCACGAGTAACCAGTAAGATTTCATAAGCAAAGACTTCCATTGACTTAGACTACATGGGTGAAAGATGGGTCCAAAAAAAAATGATAGGAAAAAAAGGCATTTTGTGAGGAAGGACCTGATAAAGAGGGGTCGAAGATTTAAAAAAAATCCTGACAGCTCAGCAATGGCAGACTCTGAGGTTGAGTTAGTTGACATGTTTGAACACCCACCACTACCTTCCTACCTCGCATTTATTATTCCCAATTTCCCATTTACTTTCTTTCGTTCGTTCTTACAATCCGACGAAACTTTTAACGCCTTTCATCCTATTCTCGGTTGCCCCTTCCCCCAATTCAGTGCTTTACTCTGTTGTTCTTCACTCAAATTAACAACCCATTTCCAAGATTCTTCAACTAACACCAATCGTTTCTTGGGATTTGGTCCATTTCTTGTAGAAACTTGGAATTTGGTGGTGATTTTTATATGGGTTTAATGGATTTTCCGTTCTACATATACCCTTTTCTTTCTTTATTCCAATTCGTCGCGGTTGGTTGGCCGCTACCTGCTTTCTGGATTGCTTGTTCCCCGGTTTCTAGCATTTCTAAACTAGTTTGCTTCAACTTCATCGTTTCAGATCGCTTCTAATTTCTGAATCCGGCGAGAGAATTTGAGTTTAAGCTTGAATTTCTGTGTTCTTCGTTTCTTCTAGGATTCTTCTGGTTTAGGTAGTTTTATCTGGGTTTGATTCGGAGAAGGGATGGGAACGAGCGGTTTTGGTAGTGGTTTTCAGGTCATTGTATGGTTGACTGTTCTTCTCCGTCGGTTTGGGCCTTGCTCCGGTGGTTTACAGAGCGTGGGGCAGATTTCTCCCGGGCTTCAAGGAACTCAGATGAACTGGGTCGATCACGACGGGGTGTTTCTTCGATCTAACAACTCTGAATTCGGGTTTGGATTCACTAATCCAGGGGAAGTAACGCAGTATTTTCTAGCAATTATTCACTTAAGCAGCCGGAAAATCGTCTGGACTGCGAATCAGCTCTCTCCGGTTTCGACTTCTGATAAATTCGTGTTTGAAGAGGGAGGTAATGTGGTTTTATACAAGGAAAACAATGTGGTTTGGTCGACGAACACCACGAACAGAGGAGTCTCTGTTCTTGCGTTAATGGATTCTGGAAACTTGGCTTTGCTTGGAAATGATAGTTCGATGATTTGGGAGAGTTTCGCCCATCCGACTGATACTCTTTTGTCGAATCAGGGTTTCGTTGAGGGTATGCGGCTTGTAAGTAAGCCCGATCAGAATAATTTAACCTATGTTCTTGAATTGAAATCGGGAGATATGATTTTATCTGCAGGATTCAAATCCCCACAGCCGTATTGGTCAATGAGTAAAGAGAATCGCAAAACGATCAACAAAGATGGTGGCTCTGTAATCTCTGCAACACTCACAGCAAACTCGTGGAATTTCCATGGCGGAAATAACGTTTTACTCTGGCAATTTGCTTTCTCCACTAATACTGACGCAAACGCTACATGGATGGCTGTTCTTGGCAGCGATGGATTCATCTCGTTTTACAAACTTCAAATGAGTGGATCTGGTGAGGCTTCCTCCATTCGAATTCCTGAAGATCCTTGTGGAACACCTCAACCATGTGGCCCGAATTTCATTTGTTATAGTGAAAATAAATGCCTCTGTCCTTCGATTCTTGGCTCGCAACCGAATTGCCAGACGGGAATCACTGCGCCATGTGACCAATCGATTGAATCTACAGAGCTCGTGGAATCTCATGATAAGATTGGTTACTTCGCACTCCAATTCTTGCAGCCGTCTGTAAAAACAGATTTGGAGAATTGCAAATCCTCTTGTAGAACTAATTGTTCTTGTATTGCTCTGTTTTATCATAGTTCCGGGGATTGTTTCTTGCTCGATCAAATTGGTGGATTTCAAAACCCTAAGAATTCCGAGTTCGTTTCGTTCATCAAACTGTCGAGAAATCAAGAAAACGGCGGAAATGGAAGCGCTGAAAAGAAGCCAATCCCTGCGATTCTAGGTATTGCCATCTCGACTTTGATTATCATTTCTGGTCTGATTTACATCGGAATTCGCTACGTTAGAAAGAAGAACAAATCTCCAGAAGCTCCGCAAGAGAGTTCAGAAGAAGAAAATTTCCTAGAAGGCCTTTCCGGAGCTCCGATTCGTTACAGCTACAAGGATCTTCAAACGGCTACAGATAATTTCTTGGTGAAACTCGGACAAGGCGGATTTGGCTCAGTTTACAGAGGAGTATTACCAGATGGAACTCGTTTGGCCGTGAAGAAACTGGAAGGAATCGGCCAAGGAAAAAAGGAATTTCGAGCCGAAGTCGGCATAATCGGCAGCATTCATCACATCCATTTGGTCAGATTGAAGGGCTTCTGCGCCGAAGGAACCCATCGCCTTCTTGCTTACGAGTTCATGGCGAATGGATCACTTGACAAATGGATTTTCAAGAAGAACAGAGAAGATTTCTCGCTTGATTGGGATACAAGATTCAACATAGCCGTGGGCACAGCCAAGGGTTTAGCGTATCTTCATGAAGACTGCGATGCTAAAATCGTCCATTGTGATATCAAGCCAGAGAACGTCTTATTAGACGACAATTTCCAAGCCAAAGTCTCGGATTTCGGGTTAGCTAAGCTGATGAACCGCGAACAAAGCCATGTGTTCACCACATTGAGAGGAACCAGAGGCTATCTCGCTCCGGAATGGATAACGAACTACGCGATTTCAGAGAAGAGCGATGTTTATAGCTACGGAATGGTGTTGCTAGAAATCATCGGCGGGAGGAAGAACTATGACCCGACGGAGAGCTCGGAGAAATCGCATTTCCCGACCTATGCTTTTAAGATGATGGAAGAAGGGAAATTGAGGGCTGTTCTTGACGCTAAGTTGAACATAAATGAAAATGATGAGCGGGTGTTCGTAGCCATTAAGGTTGCGCTGTGGTGCGTGCAGGAGGATATGCAGTTAAGGCCATCGATGGCGAGAGTGGTGCAAATGCTTGAAGGGGTTAGCGCTGTGCCGCAGCCGCCAACTTCCTCGCCTCTGGGTTCTCGGCTGTTTTCTGGGTTTTTGAAGTCGAGTAGTGAGGAGTGGACTTCGTCGGGGCCATCCGATTGCAATAGCGATGCGTATCTTTCGTCGGTGCAGCTATCTGGTCCAAGATAGCGAGCACGGCACTGGCTCGTATACTAGCCTTTGTATAAACTTACACTTAATTTGTAGTTTTGTAAAGCCAACCTTTTTTGGGTAGTGATTTATACAACGTGAATACAATAAATTATTGGCACACCGCCTCGTGTCTACCCCCTTCGGAAAACAACGAGGAGGCTGACACATCATTCGGTGTCTGACTCTAATACCATTTGTAATGGCCCAGATCCACCGCTAGCAGATATTATTCTATTTGGGTTTTCCCTTTCGGCCTTCCTCTTAAGACTTTAAAATGCGTCCACCAAGGGATGTTTCCACACCCTTATAAATGGTGTTTTGTTCTCATCTCTAACTCGGATATCACACATACCATTATGGAGGTCATGATTGTGAACATGGTATCAGATCAATTTCCTTATATAGATTCATGATTCCTAACATAGTATCAGAACCGGACTGGGTTTGAACTGAAATTTCAAGAACTCGGGGAGCATTAGGTCTCGTGGTTGGGTGACGTGACTTGTAGTCTAATTTCACCTATGATATGATTAGTAATTTTACGTCATTATTCTAATTGGTTTTTTTTGAAGCCATAATCTATTATCTACCGCCAATTTTGGACGATTCGGTATCGGCTACCAGTGGACCAGTGGAACTATAGAAATGGGTCGAACTTAAATCTACAGTAACCGGTCCATTTCACCCACTCGTGAGATGACTTCCACCTTCTCCTATCTGCCGCCGTGCAACGCCGCCGTCGTCTCCTCGTCATCTCTTAGATACTATCTCAAGCCAAAGTTTCCGGCGCTATCGTCACCTTCGACCGTCCCATTTCGCTCTAAAACTGCCATCAGTTGTTCTCCCTCCGCTCATGCCGATGCTTCTGGTATAACACCACATATCTACTTTCTTTTTCATATTTGAGAAGCCTTTAAGATGCAGTGTCTCCAGTACAATCATCGGAACTTGAATTTGACTTTTGTTATCGACTCTATGTGTATTTTCTATCGTCTGAACAAATTGGTTTTTGGCTGAAATCGAGGCCTGTATTGTGCTTCGTGTAATGGCAACAGTACCTTACTCCTTGCAGAACTAGTAGTTGTTATCTTAATATCTTTACTTTTGAACCCTAAATATGCTGTTTGAATGACAGTTCAGACTGATTTCTGCTTTCTGAAGAAGAGGGAATTTGTCTTTTCTGCCGCGCTGCCATTTCTTCTTATTTTGCATGAATCCGTGGAAGGCTTTAGAGCTGGGGCGGCAGAGTAAGATGGAGGATGGGGCTATTGCTTACGATTAATTTGAAGTATTGAGTATATAGCTTTCTGTATTATTGACTCTAATATTAATGAGAATTCATGAAGGATCTGAATCATCTACCTTCATCAATCAACACTATATATTCCATTTATTTTTAGGTTTTAGAAGATGGATTATGAACCGAATTCTGTTTATTTTCTTTCTGGGCAGAAGATTGGATAGAAGTGAAGATGAACGGATAAGAGAAGAAGTTAGAAAGGTAGTAACCAAAGGCAGGGCTCCTGGTCTGCTTCGTCTGGTGTTTCACGATGCTGGAACCTTTGAAATGAACGATAATTCAGGTTAATATCTTTATGTTTTAGGAAAGAGAGTTTTTCATAGGCTCCTTTCATTATCCGAATTCATAGAAAGATTTTTAATTCTGAGACAACATTGGATATGTGGTGAACTGTGAACTTTTGTTTGCATCAAACTTGAATTTTATGAGATTACACAGGCTATGATGTCCCCTTCTGTATAGGCTTTCTGATATGTTTGTTGTTTTAAAGTTTTCAATATGATCATCATTTTAGCAAGCCATATCATTCTTATGTAGGTGGTATGAATGGGTCTATCATTCACGAACTTAATAGACCTGAAAACAAAGGTCTCAAGAAGTCGGTTAAGGTGATTTTTTCTTTTCGTTGGGCCCTGGTGTTTTATGAGTCTCTTTCCTAGCGAGCTTATCGGTGGTCGTGTTGTTCTCTAGATTCTTGAAGAAGCAAAGAGTAAACTGGATTTAATAAGACCAGGTATATCTGCTCTCTATTTTTCCATTACTATCTGAAGGGAGATAAAAAGTACTGATCAGTAACGAGGCTAACTTGTTAGCAAATTGGATTTTGAATAGTATCTTGGGCAGACTTAATAGCAGTGGCTGGCGCTGAAGCAGTTTCAATATGTGGAGGTCCAATTATTGCTGTTGAGTTGGGTAGATTAGACTTGGGGTAAGACGAAGCTGGCCGTTTTCCTTGTTATATGAGGAGCCATAGACTTTAACCCAAGCCATTAATCAATATTTTCCTTGAGATGCAATTTGTTAACTTTGGTCTCTTTGCTTTTATTTTTTCCTGAGCTTTATTTGTTAGGATCACACAATAACTCACCCACTCAATCTAGATGAATCACATAGAACAGGAGAGAGAAAATGTAAAAGAATATTAGCTAAAGTTTTGCAGTGATGACTTCATTTATGTACCGATAGAATATAGAGAATGAGAAAAGTACATGTTCTATATACATAGTTCAAGTTTATTATATATAGTTTTTCTAGATATAATCACCTACAGTATATAAATATCTACCATATATTTCTTTGACAGCTTTTTACTATAAATAGGCGTTTAATATATCACCATTTTTCACATATAGTTTTAGTATGTATAACAATTGAATAAACTATATTCAACATTATTTATGCCCAAGAATGGTTCGTTTGGTTCTCTGGATTGTAATGGGTATATTCTCACCATTTTAGCTTTTGCATTGAGCTGTATGCACATGGGAGAGTTTCGACGAATGAGAACCTCTCTCTTTAATATTCAACTGATTGTTTGTGTCTAATTCTAAAAGGTTCCCTCACTATGTCCACACTTTCTCTTTTAACCTTGTTTCCTGCCAATTCTACCTATGCTAACCTTGCTTTCTAACCAAGTTTTATCCCCATGTGCGGTAGACCATTCTAGCTAACTAATTTCCTGTGCGCTCCTACTATCATTATTGTCTTTTTTTCATCATAAAGTAAAAATTAGGTAGGAGGTTTGTTCATGACAATTTTAGCTGTGTTTTCTGTATCCAAATAGGAAGCCAGATCCTGAAGGTAAACTTCCTGAAGAATCCTTGGATGCTGTTGGACTGAAGCAAATCTTCAGCAAAAAAGGATTCGCGTGAGTGCATCAGCTAACTAACTGTTTTTCTATTTGGTATTTGTTTTCATTTGCATCTTTTCTTCTTGGCTAATACATTCTAAGTTATTGCGTTGAATATTTATGCCCAAGAATTGTTCTCGTTATGCCCAAGAATTCTTCTTCTTCTTTTACCCATAACTAAATGCCCAAGAATTGTTCTCTTTATGCCCAAGAATATTTATGCCCAAGAATTCTTCTAGACTGAAGCAAATATTTATGCCCAAGAATTGTTCTCTTTCATAAAATAATAGTTTCTAAGTTATTATCTGGATTCCTTTTCGGCTACATAACGCAGCAAATGAGTCAAGTCCATTATTAAAATGGACATTTAGTTATGGGAAATACTGCCTCTGCATTTGATTGTATGATACAATCCTTTTAAATATGTTGTCCAATCTTGATATTTATGAAAACCAACTGCATCCCACTGTCAGTTATCTTCACATAGACAGTAGAAGAGAAATTAATGGAATAGCCCAGGCCCACCGTTAGTAAATATTGTCCTCTTTGGACTTTTCTTTTTGGGCTTTCCCTCAAAGTTTTAAAAATATGTCTATTACGGAGAGAGAGATTTCCACTCTTATAAAAAATGTTTCGTTCTTCTCCCAACTGATGTAGGATCTCACAGTTGAAAATGAGGCTAATGATGCTGGCACTCTAGAAATCGGCCCATTATCAGTCACATCCTTCACCTCAGGCCTAAAAGTGCAAATTCCAAATAACTCATAATAGATTGAATTTACCTCTACAGTGACTTCTGCAAGATTAAAGAAGGAAATTTATGGATGCTGTTTTTCTTTGCAGAACACGAGAACTAGTTGCTCTATCGGGAGCCCATACTATTGGTGGTAAAGGTTTTGGAAGCCCTATTGTTTTTGATAATGCATATTTCAAAATCCTTTTGGAGAAGCCATGGTCATCTAAGGGTAATCAATCTCATAACAATGTGTTCGTACTTCTGATGTTTGAATTGAATCAAGCCTCAATTGCAAACCAATGGCTACATGACTCACTGCCTTCATTCCTGCTTAAATCCTCATTATTTTTAGTATGCCTTTAAATCAAACTTAATGTTGAACTGCTAGATAGGTATTAGTTGTTTGTTTTACAATTGATTAATAATGCATGGCATTTCTTTGAATTGGTTAATACATAATTCCACTCGGATCTTATTTTGTTTTTTTAATTTTAGGTGGTATGTCCAGTATGATAGGGCTGCCTTCTGATCGTGCTCTTGCTGATGATGATGAATGCTTGAGGTTCTTCTCTTTCATTCGAATCTTTACTAGTTTCACCATAAATTCTCTGCACCACTGTTCTTGAGTAAGAATTACAAGAATGGGTTCAATTTGTTGAACTAAAGTAGAAAAGTCCTAAAGATTTAAGAGATAGACAGAAAATTAGCTGATTATCGGGCTGCATCTGCTTAACTGAAGTGATTTACTTTGAACTCATAGATGGATCAAAGAGTACGCCAACAATCAGACTGTGTTCTTCGAAGATTTCCAGAATGCTTATATCAAGCTAGTGAATTCTGGTGCGAAGTGGAAAAGCTAGCAAACACCTATACAATTATACACACTGGAAATCAAGGTTTAACTGCTTTATATAATTGGCTATTGCATTGGCTTCGACGATGACTTAGACACTTGTTATCTGCTTACCACGATCCGTCGCTGGTGGGATGTAACTGCGAGACAAAGCAAGAGTTGCGATGAAGATCTCTTGAAGTGCCTTCTGCCCTCATCAACATCCAAGTACCCTCTGAAGCTTTATCTTTTGTTGGCCCAAATTTTGGCCTTGAAGCATTTTATATCTTATCATGAAGACAATATTATTATAATCTCCCGCAATTCATTGAAGTTTCAAATGATTGAAGATATAATATTTTCATGTGTAATAATGCAATGGTGCTTTGTAAGCAGAAACGTGGAATGTTGATGGGCATTGTTCATGTTAGTTCCAGCCTTTGAGGTACCACTGGTAAAAACTTTTTACAATCCTGGACTGCGCCATGTGCTCATACTCATTTTGATCTTAAATTTTGGAGCTAACAATTTACAGAAATGAAAACCAATGCCAAATATATCATTCCATTGCTCGGATCACTTGCAGATAATACTCAATGAAAGTTCTTATTTATTAATAATACTGGATATGAAACTTACAGGTTGAATCACAAAGGATAACGGCCAATCTACCAGCAGTCTAATTCATACTTGGTTGCAAAAGGGCTTAAAAAACACTTGGTACCTGAAAAACTAAGGCCTCGGTATGAACTAAAAATCAATCCCTTACGGACAAGAAGATTGTGGTGGCAGACTTGTATAACCCGCTGCCACTACCTAGAGACCCTGTGAGAGGGAAAGGCACCAAATATAGGAACTGCTAGAAGCAACCAGGAAGATAATTCGACTAGGCGATCATAAACCTACCCCTTTGTGGAAAATACAAACCCAAACATTACATAAACAGACATGAGGAGGAACCGAAACATGGCTGGGGAATTAGCACACCTGAGATAATCCTAACCGTGGGCACGACACGGGCAGGACAAAAAACCAGGATCCGAATTACCCATATTACACAGAAGCTAATAACCTTGGATCCAGAAAGTGGAAAGCTCAGGGAAGGATGGTCATCAATCAAAGTGGAGACATCTCATGTGAGAGCCAAAACACAAAAAAACAGACCCCATTCATGGAAGATCTGTAAAAAATAGAGAGAATGACCATATTCCCTGGAAAATGGAACCAAGGAGATTAGATGACGAAGACCCATACCCATGGACCCAAAAACTACAGTCTACTGATAAATTCTTTACGATTTTTAAGCTACCTTCTTAGATGGATGATTTCTCCATTTGTTACGACTTTTTTGCTAAATCTGGAATAGAGTTGTCATGCTCCTGCTCAGTAAAGGATGTCACAACGATGGAGCTGAGCTAGAAGCAGCTCGATACTCCTGGTGCTGATTGAGTTGCAGTTCCGAAGATTCAAGCCTAAAAGGGAGTCACCCAATTTAAAAAGAGCAAACAAGCTCTTGTCAGTTAAGGCAGAACACCCAAACACAGAAAGGATCTGCAGGTTGAACTGGTTAGCTTGAGCAAGGGCTGCAACCCCAAAATCAGTGATGCGACATTTGGAAACGTCGAGATCATTGAGCAGTGGACAGTTCTCTGCAATTGCCACCAAGCTCGAATCGGTGACCTTTGAACAACCATCAACATTAAGCACTTCAAGAGTCCAACCATGAAGCTTGGTCAAGGATGAAATAACTTTGTCAGTTAGATTCACACAGCCACTCAAATTGACATTCACCAATCCTGCCTCACAGTTCTTAAGCAATGGCAATAGGCCAGAATCTGAAATACCACTGAGCCCAGATAAATTCACGTGCTGAAGCTGGGGGCACAGCTTGCTCAAAAGAGTTAAGCTAACATTACCAAACCCAGGGCAGTTGCAGATGGATAATGACTGCAGCGACTTGCACGGGGTCGTAGAAGGCAAGTTCAGGCTCAAATCCTTGATCCCTAAGCAGTTTACTAGAGAAAGCGCCTTTAGCTTTGCACCACAGTTTAAGATGGTACCAAATAAACCCAATTGGGTTATCCTATGGCACTCTTCTAATTGTAAGTTCTCGATGGACAAGGCAGCCTGAGTGAAAGAGACCATGCCCTTGTCCGATAAAAACGAACACTTGCGCAAGCAGAATTTTTTCAAGTTTGGGCATCCCTTTGCAATGGATTGTAGCCCTACGTCAGTCACACCATGGCAAGATGCAAGTGTAAATGATTTCAACTTTTGCAAACCATGACCACTGCCCATGACCCAAAATCCCTTCTCAGTAACATTTGTGAGGCCAGTGAGCATAAGGTCCGTAACTTCCCTTCCATAATGTCCGATGACAGCAAGCGACATATCGGTGACATTTAGACCCTGAAGCTTCACCTTGCTTAAGGTATCAGCGGTAGAAAAGAACAAGCTTGCTAGTCCTTGATCCCCGATAAGGGGGCAGTCTCTAATCGAAATAGACTTCAAATTGGAACAATATTGCCCAAGAGCTTGAAGGCCTTCATTGCCAATGTTTGCACAAGACTCGATTGTTATATCAGTCAGATTAGGGCAGTTTTTTGCAAGTTCTAGCAAAGCCTTGTTTGAAATTCCAGGACATTGACATAAATCAAGCTTCTCTAGGAATTGACATCCCTTGGCAATTTCAATCAGACCTTCATCTCCTATAGAAGACAAATTCCACAAAGAAATAGCTTTAAGGGAAGGACATCCACGAGCAACAGCCTTAAGGCCAATGTTGGAAACCTTTGAGCCATGAATGCCACCACGAATTGATAGCTTGCCCAAGCCACCGCAACTAGCAGTTCCTACTGCTATCGCAGCTAGTCTTATATCTGTTGCCTTCTCCCCTTCCAAGTTTCGTGATAGATGTCCATCGTTCTCAACTTTGTTATCTGTCTCATTTACAGCCACAACATTCTCAGGCCTCAAATTTTCAGAAGCGCTGTAAAACTCATTTCCACTAATGCTGCTTAAAAGCATGAGCCAGCGTTTAGAAACGCAAGCACAGAGACTCCTCGTTTCTCTATCAGGCAGGCGCCTGAACACCTCAAATAGACACTCATCTGGAAGGATTTCAATAGATGTCTTCTTCTTTTTGAGTATTTCTCCACTAGGCACAAATGATTCAGTAGCTCGGGACCTCTTGCGAAGAGGATAATAAACATCCACCCGACGACCAAGGGACAAAAAGAGACTAGTATCCTTGGGGTTCTGATAGATCGGTGCCCCAGAGAAAAAATCCTCACTCTCTGTGACTGCAAGAACAAGAGGAAAAAGAAATTAGCTGATACATCCAAACACGTTCGCAACTTTAGAGACTATACAACCTTAACAAATCACACCACAAATTTCATACTCAATGATCATTTGTGTATTATTACATAAATAACACCAAAAAGAAAACAATAAAGATCTACTAGAACACAGAACAAATTACCATCCTTCTACTTCATCAAACCACTTGGTCTTTTACTGATATTAGAAATTACAGCAACATACAGAGGATACCATTCCTAAATCTACAATCAGATCATCATCGAAGACACAGCTAACGTTCTAGGATAGCGCTCACAACCACGACTCTTTTCCACAAACATCAAAGTTCATGAGATTCGACTCTGTTAAGTCTTGAAACAGTTGATCTAAAACCGTATACCTCTAGAACCTACACGTTACCGCAGAGCAACATCAAAATTCATAGCCAACGACCTAAATCTCAAAATCACCACACACTTCCAAACCTAAGATCCAATCAACTACCAATATCAAGAGGACATACATAAACGATCTGACAAATCACAGCAGCTAAAGATCGTAGTTCTCACAAAACACTAAAAAAAATAGGGAAACTACAACTTATCATATAAAACCCACAAAAACCAATCAAAATCGAAATATCAAACAGAAACATAAACGATCCAGAGTCAAGAAACCTTACGAGTAAAACCAAAGATCTTAGCCATGGATACGGCTTGACGAAACCCAAAAACTCGACTGTCGGCAGCACGCCACCAAAAAACCCTCCAAAGAGAGGAAAAAAAAGAGAGCGAAGAAAGGTGAAGACTGCGATCACCAAGCTTTGAGGTGGGAAGAGCTGATGCATGAGACGGATGGAAAGCAGCAAGACATGGAAACCCTATCAAGATAGGGAAAAAAGGAAGAAGAAGAAGAAGAAGAAGAAGAAGATGAAGAAGGTAAGAGGAAAATGAAAGGTACCGAATGAATCAAAACGAGTCTTATTGACTATTGAGAATTGAGAAAAGGGTTTCAATACACGCGAACACACGCTAACAAAACTCACATGCATTGTATCTGATCACAAAATGGTGGGCCCCCCTTGCTTATATTCTTCCACCTAATCAAATCAATTAAACCATACGCTGGTTTTTGTGTTTTCTTTTTTCTTGAAAAGATTGCATTTTATTTTCTGCCTGTTTGGATACTCGCTTATCCTATTCCTTCCATATTCTTCATAGGATTACAGCGTGTTTGGACACAAGATTACCCTAACCCTGCAAGTTCCCCCAAACAAACTGTTGTTTGGTTTCCAACCGCTAATACCTTCATTCAATACATTAAATTTTTTAGTTTCTAAAATTTTATATTTATATTTAATATGTTTAAAAACATCTTTCACCTTTTAGCTTCGTTTAAAAAGAAAAATAAGTCGAGCCTCAATTAAGGAGAGACGTACTTTGTTCGAGGAGAGATGTTGAATGATGAAAGTCTCACATCGATTAATTTAGGGAATGATCATGAGTTTATAAATGAGGAATACTAACTCTATTGATATGAGGTTTTTTGAGAAACTAAAAGTAAAGCCATGAGAGGTTATGTTCAAAGTGAACAATATCATACCATTGTGTAGACTGTGTTCATCTAACTTGGTATCAGAGTCATGCCCTAAACTTAGCCATGTCAATAAAATTCTCAAATGTCGAACAAAGACCTCCAAAAGAAATAGAGTCGAGTCTCAATTAAGAGGAGACGTACTTTGTTCGAGGGAAGATATTGGATGAAAGTCCCATGTCGGCGTCGGCTAATTTAAAGAATGATCATGAGTTTATAATCAAAGAGCCGTTTTATTCCATTAATATTGGGTTTGCTAGAAAATGACATAGGGAAACAAAAATGTGCTCTTTAAAAGAAACGTTTTATTTAGACCAAATTTTGACTAATTATATTATTTTATAATATTTTTAGTACCTTTCATTACGTTTTTTTTAATTTTTTTTTTTAAATATTCAAGAGGTTTTTTTCCCATTAAAAACGTTCTAAAAACACTTCAATTCAAAACAATATTAAATTGTT